GTAGTTGTTTTCAATCAATTGGAAAAAGTGTGTGGTCAGTTGTTAACGTTCCGTTCGCCTTCCGTGAGTCGTCAGCGTAGAACATTTTTGGTAGCACTTTAAACATTGCGTAGAGTTACTCGAAATAAGACAGAGTGAGTTGAGTACCAATCGGCTTTTTCGCACCAACGGTTTGTGACCACCTAGGTATCCTTTCTATTCAATAAGTCTTGCTATCAATCCATGATTTTGATCACGATTGTGAATAACGGAATAAGGTCAACCGAATGACCTGCTGTTATGCTAGCAGTCGGTGAGAACTGCTTCAGCGTTATCACCGTCATTATCGTGATTATTACCGGCTTCAGGAATGTGAGGAATGAAACATGCGGCAGGATAATCGAGTCATTGGGGTTTACTGTCCTGTACTATGGTATGGAGTCTAAACTGGGAGTTCAGCGGGCAAACCTGTGTTTGGAACCATCAATGGCAAGAAAAGTGACTTATTTGAGGTCAGGTTAGAACTGGGATCAATTTTTGGCTTGCTTTGCTATACATCTTTATGCGGCTCTCTCGAAAATCGTGACGCGGAATGGCCTACTTTGATTACAGCCTTCCATTAAAGACGTACCTTCAACGCACTGGATCCACTATACAATGGCTGGTGCATGATCTCACACAGACTGTCTAGCTCATTGTACGAACAATCATCTATTAAAAACTTTTCAAATGTTGTTTGCATGTCAACTCCAGATGTACTGTAATTAACGAATAATTCCTAGGTGTTGGATATCGTGTATAGCCTCATCCCAGTTAGGAATAATGATCTTGTAGGGCCCAATTGCACGTATTGACCGTCACTGCTCCACATGGTGCTACTTTGAATCAAACCGTTTTCGTGCAGCGTACTAATACAGTGATTGGCCACTGAAAAGGAACATAAGGACAGAACAACTTCGTTGGTGCCACCGGCATCTGCACCCCATGGACACTTTTGCTTGATTACTTTCTCCCCATCACTCGTATGGTCACTCTCTATCCTGTCCTACCTGAACCTATTGTGGTCAGTCAACCCGAAGAGGTGAAGCACCGGACTCGAGTTTCATTTTTTTAGCGATCATGAACAATGCCAGGATCTAAATTCCGGACAGAAGACAGGTAACCAAATGAAGAGAACAGTTAGCAGTATGTAGTGTTTACATCCTGTCACTGTGGATCGAGCGTCTTCTGGTGTAGAATGTGCTCTCTAAAGATTTAATGTAACACGAATCAGTATCAAGGGAAGTAGTTTTGTTGTGGGAATCTCTTCGAATCTGCCCATCGCATTGTTGTGACTATGTTGTAATTGAATAACCGGAGATTCCGGTATTATTCACCCTAAAGCAAACACGTAATAAACGAAATTTTGAATGACTTTCACCTGACTGCATGTGAGTAAGCTCCTGTATCTTTTGCACTTGATTCCTAGTTAACAATTGTTTTTAACCTTCCTTCGTCCCGAACGGTTTTATTGACCGTCGATAGTGCACTCTGACGACACCATCCGGCCTGAGACGTCTGAATTAATTTTACACTACTTATTATGGTTAGGTAGCGAAATTGGCACGATAAATTTCCGTCTATCTCAACACAATGAGTAGGCGTGTCGCGCGACTTCGAAATTTCGCTCTCCTCAGGTGCGGGACCTGAAGTATGCAATTAAAATGGAGTAAAAACAAATGTGAGTGGACAACCAATCGTACAGTGAGGTTAAAATTGGTGTCGTGTGGTCGGGATCACGGCAACCGAGGGCATTGTTTTGTAACCGTGTGGACACAAATAACTGGTATACTTTGTTAACCATCGTCTCAATAGTAGGCAGAAGTGTCGGGTCCTGCTTGCATACTAGTATTCGTAATGAAGCTCTTAGATTGCTCAAGTGGACAATTTGCAGAAAACGTTTTGCAAAAGGAGGCACGTTTCCGCCATTTGTCCTCCGAACTTTTTTGGACGATGGCGATCGGAAGAGAACTTTAATATGGGTTTATGTGATGATTGGCTGAAAAGCACGGTTTTATGGTGCACAAGAGCATGACATTACAGACAAGTTGATGGTTCTTTTCCAAGCAGATATCTCCCCAGGGATGCTCTGGAGGTTCATTTTTAATAATTTTCCTAATCCTTGATGTCCGATTAATATGGTTATGATATGTTGTAACCTTTTTTTAGAAATTTTATGGTACCTAATGAGATCCAGGACGCTTCACTCAGACCTACACACATCTTGTGACTTGAGTTCCATGACCTTTGTAGACATACTTGCGAATGAACTTAGCGACGAGTCTTTACAACTTTATATCTACCGAAGGTGCGCATAAGGCAATCGGTATCTGTGTGTTTTCAGATTCTAAGTGAAAGCACCTAAGACCGGGTTGGGAAAAACCGTATTATAAGGAACAACATAAATCTGTAGCCCGGGGTGATTCGCAGCGGAAAAGATGTTTCTCAGAACCGTTCTGCTTGCCATAGTTCACTCTGAACGTTGGGTGGATGTTGATTGTACTGTATCTCCAGAACTTGCGACAGTGTAAAAGGTAGAATAGAAGGACATTTTTTTATTTCTGTCGTTTACAGATTACTTACTTGCAGTCGATTTAGGAAAAATCTGTATTTAGCTCTGAAACGGGTCCACAATGCGAAGTAACTCCACCAGATACACTCTACCGGTGTAAATGCTTTGCAACAGTGCGGTCATAGTTCATTCGATTTATCCAGCTCCCATGCAATTGACCGGTTATACTGTGGAGAATGGATCGGCGTCTATCGAAACATGTGATAGAACATACTCCACAATGTGTCCTTACAGGATTAGCATAGTCTTCCCAAAAGGTTCAGACGGAGAACCGTGGACCTGCGCCTTCTGTTGCAACACATTTTTTGCAAGCTTGTCACCGGATCAATTTGAAAGCATCATTACCAGTGAGAATATACAACCTTAACCTGAAATGTTTCTCTGTCAGTGAAACAATGCGTAGTGAATTTCTCAAGCCAGTAATGTGTGCACAGAATGTTTTCAAATAGTTCTTTCGGTTGCCTTGGTCCTGGTTAGATAACACCAATTGTAACTTCACTGTGTGTTTGTTGTCGTCCCAGATTTCTCGCTTGGGCCGTCCCACTTCTTGCGTATGAGGACAGTGGAAGAAACTTTGGAATCGTACGAGTTATCATCTGTCTGTACTGGTAAAATGGATAGGGGTGGTCCAGCGTTTATCGATTTCATCTGTTGTATTTTCTGAACGCGACAGCAGGACTAAATTTTTACTGTTAATCGTGATTGGTAGAAAATCCGCACTCATCTAACTCACAAGCTAGGCTCAGTGAAATGATATGTTCAAAAATCTATTTGGAACAGAGTTACGTGATGGTAACCTTGGTGATGCGTTAATCAACAATGTACCGTAACACTGTTTATCAGTAGGATGAGGTGTTGGCTACCGATAGAGTGGTTGGAATTCGCATCCACCTCTAGTTTTACTCCGGATTGAGTGGATGGATGATAACGTCTTAAAGCATCTTCGTGACACTTATCCACTATCCGAAGAACCATCATCGACTAGTGTACATGAGAGATACTAAAATACATAAGCAACTAATGAACCAAGAAACACCGAAATGCGTTGTTTGTTTGGGAAACAACCACACACACGAGTATCGATGGTCGCCATTCCCATTATTATCCACCAACTAAATTGCGTGCCAAGCTACTAAAACCACTTCTTGGTGGATTTTGCTCATATCCAATTTAAGCGGATGTATGGTTTTTGTCTGAGGCTTCACCAAACAATGTTCTCTGAAAATACTTTAGCAGGTATGGTTCACATCGGTACAAGGGACAATTGGACAAAGAACGGTGCTGTTCTTTGAATGTCAGCTTTGAAAGGTGCATATGCTGGTGACATGTGTTACATCCGGACTAGTTACTTGGACTTTGTCCCTTATGAGACCTCGTGATCATCAACTTAGCGCGTGGTACGATGTAGTCAACAGTAAGTGTGCAAATACACTCCTTATTTTCATGCAGTAGTATCGGGATGATATGTTATTCTAAAGCACTAGCCCCTCCCAGCCAAGGAACTTTCCACGTCGATAAACTTCTCCTCACTGAGTTTGTTGGGAATAGGTTACATGTAATACTAATAATACAATGATAATAAATAATGTCATGTTACAATACTGACCAACAACGCGTGTAGCAGTAAACTGTTGCCCACGAGACCATCCATCTATATTGTGTTGGCAGCTTCCATTAACCGCACTTGAAAGTAAATATTGCACTGAATCACACATATTTTGATGCGAACAAAACGATATTCTCCTAAACTTAAGCTTATTACCTTGACTTCTAGGTGAAACCGTTCAGTACATTCAAGCTTGCAAAGATCCTGGGTCACTCGACGAAAGCATTGACTTTTACGACACTCATTTTTGGTAAGCTTTTTCATTCTTATCTTGGTTCATAGAACTTGATCGTTTATGCTATAGTACTCTTATCGTAGCTGATAACGTAGGTGCTGGAATTTCCGTTATTGTAATTGTCCGTTGAGTAAATCAGTTTCTTGGCTTTCTGCCGTGCTGGATACCCGTTATATTGTCCCACACTGCTTTGTTGTTTGTCAGTCAAACTGGTACGCACGAAAGCAATGAAGCGTTGTCTCAAGAAGTAACTGGCTGGTGATATCAACCAGCCCGACTACTGAAGGTACCATTTTGGTGATGTCAAACTCGTTGGCAAAAAACGTGATCGTGCAAAATGCGCACCTTGTATCAACATTAAAGATGCCAAACTTCCCCCGAGGACATGGTTCTCCCATTACGCGTTTGGACCATGGTGAAGAGATTAGACCTTATCCTGGTGTTCTGGTTTGCACACCTTGGCAACCCCGTGAGCCATACTACGAGATTGCCAATCAGAATCAACAGCGTCTCGTGCCGTAAGCTGATATAGGTTCCCTGGTCCTCCGTGTTTTAGGGTGAAAATGTGGCAACTTGTTCTTTAGAAGTTTCGCTATTCTGCTAATCGGACCATCGCGTCTCTGCGGTCGATTATTTGAGCTGCGCCTTCTGGCTGAGGACCCTATCCTATCCAGGTTTTGGTATCACCATGGTATTTCAGCCAATTTGACAACTACGAAATACACAAGTGGGGTTAAGCAGTTTTCCCACTAAAAGCATCATGAGGTGCGCATTTCAAGGGTCGGGGCATCCTGGTGTCCAAATCACATCTAACGGACGATATTGTCTCGTTATTTGATGGTTGTAAATCGTAAGAGTGCACCTTAGGTAGAACTTTCTGGTTCAATCTTTGTTTTGGTGTGCCCTGTGCAATTCCACAGTGCGAAGTATCAATTCAGAATTCTGAGTGTCTTTATGTCTTCCTGAAACTTCAGGTGGAAGGAAATTGAGTTTGCTGGTTTGTCTATCTATCTTAACAGCTGCATAACTGCGCCGAAGAAATCGATGCGCGCATTATCAAGGTGCGAGCAAAATCTGCGAACTTGCGTTGTTTACGCCTTTTAGGTTAACTGACCTGTGCACAAGGCAACTGTGAAACGTGGGTCCCCAGATCCAAAGACATTAGACGGATCCAGATTTTTGAGCGTCAGACTAAGGTGGCTTGGGCGTGCATTACATATGGCGAACCTCGATACTCGTGGAAAATATGGTTTTTCAACGCGAAATAAAGTCAGCTATCATTAACGGAGGTGCTGTGGAGTTTTTGCGTCTTTCTGGTTGGCGTCCACGTGTTTCTGGTTGCATGTAGTTAGAAGCCTTGCGGCACGTAACCGATGCCAACTGCCACCGCGGTGTTGCTTTCTAGCTGAAGTTTGTTGCTGTACGGGGAGCTCATGTTAGGTGAGGTTCTCAAAGGATTTTGGCCAATCCCACTGATGGCTGTTCCAAGGTATAGACACCTTGTCCTTGTTATCCTTCTCAAAGACTATTTTCACACTGATTCCCTAACCTCCCTCTTTTCACTCGTTACTAGACATTTTTCATCATGCATGTATGACACTCATGTGTCTCTGTTCGTGATGATACGGATAAATGCATTTTACAACATTTCCTGTCCTTATTTTGTTTTGCTATACACTCGTAATGTCAAACGCTTTTTAGCTGGATCAAACAGCTACATCGATAGACCAGGCAACCTCTAAATATGTCCTATGGGAGATCTATGGGACGCCACGAATCAGTGAGCGTCCACACTGGTCCTTTGTGTGACAAGCCCCCGCACAACATATCTCCCACTCCCCGCATAGCCTGCAGCTGCATAGCTCAGTCCGCACAGCCAAAAACACAGGCATAGACGTATCGATCGTCGACCATAGTTTTTTTAACTTGTCTGAGGTAGGCTGGCGTGGATTCACGCCTGTTGCAGGCCCGATAGGTCTTTGTTGTTAGGTTTAAGATACTTTATGATAGACTGCTTAGCACACGGGAGTTAACATTTTTGGGATAATTTGCACCGATGTATTGAAAAGCCTGCAAAAGTAGTGATATTCTGGACGGTGTTTTGTGCCGAGATTAGAATTCATCTACTGGGCCCATCATGTAGACCATTTTCTGACAAACACCAGCTTAATATGCGCACAGGTGCATAATATCCTGAAATGCACATAAAATTGAGAATGGTTGAGTAGGGAGAGTTTATGGATAATCAGCTAGAGCCAAACGATCTCAGGTCTATTGCTCATCTCCTCAGTTCTGATATACTCTGGTAGGCTTTCTGCACTTGATTTCCGTTCAACTTTTTGTTCTAACCGAGTGTTTTGATGATGAGTTGTGGATGAAAAGTTTCAGTATTGAAAGTGTTCCGATAGGCTCTCCATAAGTTCTCAGTCGGTGCTACAAAACCGCTATCTTTTGTTTCAGGTGCATTTGTCGCCGGATTGGATGCCGGACTAGTGTACAATACATGGCCCAAAATGGCCGATCGCTGGGTTCCGGATGACCTGATTACACCACAGTATGGTTCTACTTTCGGTAACCTACTGAACAATCCTACCGGTGTCCAGTTTTCGCACCGCATTTTGGCCTATACCACAGTGGCTTGCGCAACGGCCCTATGGGCAACTGTCATGCGGACGGGTTTAGCCACGACTGGACCACGAATACGCACGGCCGCTCATCTCGTTCTGGCCGCGGCAGTGGGCCAAAGTACCTTGGGGGTGGTGACCTTGTTATACTACGTTCCCGTATGGTTGGGTGTTATGCATCAAGGAGGAAGCCTCGTTCTACTCTCCTCTGCCTTATGGTTCACCCACTGCCTTCGAGCAGTACCCAAATAGAAACCTGCTGTCGTCGGTTTCTCATCGTGCTTTCCACACTATTTTAATCCTCATTCTGTGAAGTTATTCCTGAATACACGCATATCTTCCAGTAAAGTATTTTCCTCGAGAATTGGACTGATTTTTATGATCATTCATTCCCAGAATGGATTCATGAGTGCAAACTGCTCCTACCTCGATCTTTTCCTTGTGGGTAGTCTGCAAGAGTGAGCTGATGGAATTTTTAGGCATTTGTGTGAGTTTTTGCTCGGCACAAGCAGTGGGTCAAGGAACACCTGTAGGAGCTTATCAAATCTTGAGGTCCAGTCTGTCTCATCTTTTTCGCGTGGTGTACAAGGTGGAACCGGATTTTTGATTGATTCTCTCTTTCGTTAGCTTATCCTTCTGGTATGTGATTTTATCTAAAATCGTCCAGCTGTAACACCCTTCCGGTACCTAGCTGCCACGCTAGAAAGAACGGGGGCTGAGCTACTGTCGGGTCCCCCAAGCCTAGACAGGGGAAGCCGAGAGGCAGAGGTCGGGTTCGAACCACGGACCTTCCGGTCAGTAAATTCGCGCTCTAACAACTTGAGTCGCCAGATATCTAACGATTGACGATGCCATTCAACCCTTCTTGAGGTTCACAGAGACTGACACTGTTAGCCAAAACAGTAAGCAACAGGTACCGTGATAATTACAAGCGCCTAGCTCACTACTAACTAGTAGGGATGTTGGGTAGGGTATAGGATGGTATCCACGATGGGATATTTCGTATTTGTGTTCTTTACCGAAGATGAGAAATGATCGGCCACCTTGCGATTGAGTCGTACCTGTCCAATTTGAGTTCAAGTCGAACATAAATTCGACGGGAACTCGCGGACCAATGTGATGAACCCCAAGAAGGGTGAAACCGCTCCTGGGTTGTTGAGGCGTTTTCAGCAACATTGCGAGTAGTGCGTTACGTCTAGGTAATAACGCACTACGATCTCTCGAGTATCGTACCAAATGTATCACACTCACTTGAAGCAAACCTCCGTAAATGATACATTCGGTTGATTTAGTTGAGTCTTATCATATTCTTGTGAGCTCGAGCTGCCCCATTGGTTGAAGCGCGAATTTACTGACCAGAAGGTCCATGGTTTGAACTCCACATCTTCATCTCGATTGCTGCTGCTTAGGCTTGGGCAACCTAGCAGTATCTCAGCCCTTCCGCTTTCTTCGAGTGGTGTGGCAACTAGGCATTGGAAGGGTGTTGCAACTGAGCGATTATTATTATTACATATTCTAGTCAGAGACCCATGACATCAATAACTGCTCTGATCGAACAAACATCAAACACTGCGAAAGACCTAGTTTGAACGAGGTTCGTATACTTTTCGTCTCAAAGCTAGTGTTCTACTCAGTCAGCCGATATAGTAATGTTGATGGTAGCGACCGTTTACTTGCTAGCAATTCTCTGGATTCCACTGCGCGTTTCAGAACCTGTGATATAAATACTGTCTCTTATCAGTGAGTGGGTGAGCACATGTTGAAAAGAGTTTATGGTCAAAATGGACTGGTTCCTTGTAGGGCTAAGCGGTGTAACAACTATTACAAAATCAGTAATTTCTCATCAAGATGACCTGTCCAGTGTACCATCGGTTTAACCCTACCTCCTGAGAAAGCCCGTAAAGAATCTACATGACAGTGTAACTTTAGTGTATTTATATGCCATGCGAACACCCGTATTGGTACCTAATTGGAGTGCTCCATAGAGCGAGGCTGCGCGTGAGAGGCTAGGATATGGCAACCCAGCTAATCAGGAAGGCATTTTCCCCTTTGAAAGTACTTTTACACCCCGGAATTTTATTCCCACCAGTTCAAATAGAAAAAATTGACTACCAGTATGTTTTTTTCACTCTTGGAGCTTCTTGTGTGCCTAAATATGTCATCTAAGAACTTTGTATATTATCTCTACTCAAGAACCTTTCTGAGGAGTTCGATGGATCATTCCCAAAAAAAGGAGAAGCTCTGCACCATCACATAGGTTGTTTGCAGTGACTTAAAGACAATGAGAATTACAGGCAAAGATTGCCCCTGCCTTTTATCTTAGCCAACATCTAAATCAACCAGTAAACAGCCTCGGAAAGATCACTACCCCGGGATTAGTGTTTCACCAACACACTGGTTCACAGTACATTTACTTCGTGCAATGTTTGCCCGGCCCGGATATTATACATGACACTCGTTTAAAGATCCTTTTACAACTTTCGATGGTCTGTGGTCACTGGAGGATCTTAACAAATGTTCCAACTGAGACAAATTTTCACACTCATTTGGGGCTCTCATCGATTGAGGCTGGTTCCGTGAGTCCCTGAGACTTTGCCTGAGAAGTATAAGAGGTCGACTAATGAAATTTGAATACATCGCCTTCAAGGTGTTCATGTGGGAGGAGTTGTCATCCACAATGTTTTGTTCTGCGCATCGTCTGGAATTCGGCGCTTCTACGCTGTTTTCTAATAGAGGTGCTTGCGTATTTTGTTTGAAGCTTCTGGTGTCAACTGAAGCTGGGAATTCAGGAATCGACAAGCTTGTGGTGGTCACTCGAAGCTTCGCAGTATATCCTGTATTCGCGGCAGGTCCCTGTCTGGTAACTTGTCTAGCAAGATATTCCGCATTAACATGCTGCCATTTTTCCGTCCAACACTTAAAGGCTTCTTTTTCGTCCAGTTCACCAACCCTTCTCAGGCATGAAGCGGGTTTCGAATCCGTCACCGACGGTCTATCAGATTTCCGCGTGAGGCTTTCCCGCCTAATTTGTTTATCTTCTAACTTTTTTACTTCTCCGCTAAGCATTCGATAAGACTGTGCTTGAGAACTTCGCTGATGCAGACCCTGCAACATCGTATCAATGTCTTTTCTGTTTTGTATTCCAAGGGAAGATAAATAAAGACAAGTCTGCTGCCAAACAACTATACGCTCTTTGAGTTGGTTATAGGTGAAGTTTTCCGAACACAAGTTATCCACAAGTTCCTGGAACGTTTCCGAATCCTTGGAGTCAGTAGATAGTGTGTGACTTCGTAGAGTCTGCGAGAAGGCCGTCAGCCAATCCTGTGAGGATTGGAACCCTGGTTTCGTGTTTGTGAGTGGACGTACGTATGCAAAACCGTCTTCAGTGACTAGAATATTGGCAAGTGTTGGATATTGCAAGTGATCTACTCCTGCTTTTGGTGGAGTCTCGGAGAGATGTTCCCGTAGTTGTCCAAGTATCTGATAACACAGAGCACTAGCTTCGTTTGTATAAAGTGGCCGACGTAGTGGAAACTTAGCTAATACCTCTGCTAAGCTCGTCGATTTTGTGTCAAATGTATTGTTGCTTTGATGTTGAGGTTCCTTACGCACCGTTCTGTTCATGAGGTATCATTAATACATTGGTTTGGGCGGCATGTAATTTAGAAAAGATGGCACAGAAGCTCTAATTCATCGATCCGATTTTGAATCAACCAGTGAAGGGTTCACGTGAAGGCCGGGTCAAAGCACGGTCGAGAGACACACAGAGATATGGTTGTCGATCAGCTAACCATATTCGGAGTTTGAAGTTATGCTAGACAGCTGCGTTTATTGCAAGCTATTTGGGGTCCAATATCCTAAGCTTACTTCATGTGCCTTGATTGGTGCCAAGCGTTATCACGTTCTTTGACGTGGCCAACTTATTCCTTGCTCATTTCTGAACATATTGTCATTTATTTTTGGAGAGCATGGTCACAAACATAAAAAGTGAACGCAATCGATGAATGCGGAAGGGTAACAGGAGAATATGAGAGAAAAGAGAGAAACGTCTCATTTGAATTCATGCCACCAACAGTTCCAGTCAGATGAGATGGATCCCAACGTATGTTAAAATTTTGATATGGAAACACACGTCTAAAGTCCAACAACCAAAGAAGGGACAAACAATGTTGAATGCTCTTCAAGGCGCGGTAAGCGTCAGGACAATCAAGACTCGCACATCAGGCACAAAGTGTCCGTCATATTGGGTCTGGTGTGAGATTAAATGGCAAAAAATGTACATTCGACGCCATGTGCCACACATAAGTGTCATGAATACGCAGAGTGCTTACAATGGCAAGCAGGCACAAGTCACTGACTGTGACATTAGGAAATCCCAGTCCAATAACAGCCTTGGCGGATTGAGGAAAGCAGATTCCTCGATAAGAGATGATAATCGGTTGGTGGACCGAAAAGTCAACATCACAACCGATTGCACCTAGGGCTGATATTATGGCGAGGGAATGCTCATCAGCACCATACTTCTGCTCCTTCTCATTCCACACAGTCACATCGCGCCCATCCGAGACTATGCTGACGGCTATTACAGTTGCTCGGCGATCTCGAACAGCGATTAGGTCAGGTTTGATGAAGGACGTCGAAGTAGGTACTCTGAACTCCTCGAAGATGGTGTATCCCAGTCGACGTAGACGTTTTGCGAGTTCCCTTGCGATCCGATTATGACGAGCACATCTGGCATCATGTTTGATCCAGCAAGATTGCGCTTCTTCGGCCTACATATTCTCAAACACCTGTTCATATGGAGAATGACTATGCACCCTACTACTTGATTGCTCAGCATACACACTGGAAGTTAATAGAAAAGCAGCTATACAGTCGTTCAAATTAGCATAATCCCACAGCGAAATCAGTGTCGAAACAATCCAGGTGGAACAAATTCAATGGAGACGTGCAACGGGATCGGATCATTAGTAGGATACCTAGCCGTTTATTGGACCATTTAATTCCAGTGTGTAGTACTTCCAGAAGGGAGAAGCTTCTACTCAGGAGACAAGTCTGCTGCCAAACAACTATACGCTCTTTGAGTTGGTTATAGGTGAAGTTTTCCGAACACAAGTTATCCACAAGTTCCTGGAACGTTTCCGAATCCTTGGAGTCAGTAGATAGTGTGTGACTTCGTAGAGTCTGCGAGAAGGCCGTCAGCCAATCCTGTGAGGATTGGAACCCTGGTTTCGTGTTTGTGAGTGGACGTACGTATGCAAAACCGTCTTCAGTGACTAGAATATTGGCAAGTGTTGGATATTGCAAGTGATCTACTCCTGCTTTTGGTGGAGTCTCGGAGAGATGTTCCCGTAGTT